ATTTATACGATATGCAAGTCCGCACTTTTTTTTAACAACTTTTTTTATTTGTTTTCGCTTGTGAACAACGGCAATTACTAAATAACTGAATAAACGAAAATAAACAGAAGAGGAAAAACAGAAATATCCCCAAAAAAAAAAAAAAAAAAAGGAAAACCGAGGCATAAATTCTCTGCGAAGCTGCCAAATCGAAATTGAAAATCGCCGCTCAGCTGACGAGTAAAAACTGTAAGTTGTTGCTAAATGTAATTGTTGCCGTCAGTTAGTAATAATGCCCATTAACTTGGGGGCCAAGGGGAAGGGACTAAGTGCACGGGGTGGCCAGAAAGCCAGAAAGCAAGAAAGAGACGGCGATGCCCGAGAGTGACTTGGCTTAAACTTGAGTTATTCCTCGCGTTTTTTTCTGTTTTTTTTTTGGTTTTTGCCTCATCTTTTTTCCGTTTAAGCCCGCCTTGACTTTCGACTTTTGTCGCGTCTTGACATCTCCTCGTATTAACTATGTAATTTCCTCTTCGTTTTATTGCACTGCATACACTAAATTATTATTTTTATTATTACTCATTTGCTCAGCTCATGTTCAAAAAAAGTTTGCAAAAAAATGAATTCATATGTGTGTGGAGTACAAAAAAGTGTTAATATTCAAATTTAACTGGTGATTCTGATTTATGGTGAACTAAAAATTAGAATAACATGTGGTTGTTGTTTCAATCCTAAGAATGAATTATATTTATCAAAGTGTCTTATAAATTCCCCATTTGAAAATCAAAACTACTTCATAATTGTAACTACATTTTTTTACTTCAGTGCAGGAATGATACAGCTTTTTATTAGATTGTGTTCTAAATGTTATAGCCATAAATTTTCTAATATAGCGAACGTGTTCTTGAAATTTCTTTAGATTGTGTCATCACGAGAAGAGCACGTTTTTTTACAATCTATAGTGCAGAATGATATATGCCAGAGTCTGGCCAAAAAAAGCCGCCAGACAACCGATTTGAAATCGGAATGGGGATAGGAATTCTGTAGATAAGGATTTAAAACTTTCCATGGGCTTCCTATCGAGGTGGAGCACCAGTCTAATTGAGTTACTCCTTATCGCCATTGTTTCGATCAACCAATAATTTGTCACTTTCCATTATATTCATATCGGTCAACCGTGATTTGCCTGAATTCGAAAGTCTTGCCCATAATTTGACTATTATTTGCAAATCAGCTTATTAACTTAGCATTACTATTATTTAAATGAAAATCAGTACCAGTTAACTTAAGTTACGCTCTATTTACTTATTGAAAACCTAACCCCTGACGAATTATTATTTACTCAGTGCGCTTTCTAACTGGGAATTTCAAAGTAATTTGTTTAAACTAGAATTCCAACAGTCTGGGCCTAGGTCTCTAGTGGTATTACTCGGCTAGCACCACCCCTTCAAATGTTTTTATGGCCACAAAACGAACTTAGGAACTTAGCTGGGCATTGTTCCCAGTGATTTCTGGGTCCCTCGCAAATCTCCGATTCGCTGACACAGAATTCCGGGTATCGCCAGTGTTTGAATTTCGCTGCGGAATGACGAAAACCAAACACCACCAGAAACGGATCCCAGCTAACGGAAAAAGTGGAGAAGCGGAGCGCATTCTGATAAGCTCCGATTGCGATTCCAATTCCAATTCCAATTCCTATTCGAATTCCGATTCCGATTCGAATTCCGAATCCCCCAGTTCGCATTTCGAGATCCTAGACTCATCGAGGAGTTGGGTAAAGTACAACTCGGATCGGATTGGATCGCATGATTCAGCCGTGCCTCGACCAGCAAAAAAACAGGCAATCCGGTTAATGTTTATTTATAAACAAAATACAAAGCCCCACTGTCAGGAGAAATACAAAAAAAAAGGGGGAACTGCGGATATCTTTGTGGCAAAGGCAGCGATAAGATAAGGATTGGGGCTTTCGGTAGAAACGTCAGCGGGTTGGAGTGACTAAAGCGAAAACGATTCAAATTAATAATGATCGAGCAATGCTCCTCCACTCATATTTGTTTATATTTCCCGATAAATTGCACCCTTTCCGCTTTTTTTTTCTGCGGTTATTTGTAGTCACACCAAACGTACAGTAAAGATTCTTAAAGTTGAACTTAAAAACTAGATGAAACCATTTATTTTCGCTATAAGCTATCAGTTTAAATAATTTTTTTGTTTTACATGTTTCTTAAAACGTTACTTTGCAATAATCAGTTGGGTTTTCCCATTTTTTTAGTAAATAGTATAGTTCTTGGGGATTATTTATCGTGTTTTGTTCTTTTAACAATTTAACTTTGGGTTATTCCGTGCTCTGGATAAATAGTTTTTACTTACAAAAATGGAATTCAGTGGTATTTCTTAAAAGTCTAAGACTTTTTGGTTCTACTTTCCTTAGAATTTCACATTTGCGCTATCAAATTTCGGACGTGTTAATTTTATTACCAGAGTGACACATTCGTTTTTGGGGAAAGTAATTTGTGAAACTATTTCTTGCGAACTTCCGGTTGCTAGGCGGCCATTCTGCACCCTCTCTTTATGAAAAAAAAATAAAAACCTCCGACAACCTGCTGCTTAACCCCTGTGACAACATTACCATTTTATCTTATCGTGGCGGGAAATTTCGGTGGGTCGGCTCTCGTTTATGGCTACTCAGTGTTCAGTTTGTCTCTGCCCGACCATATATCTTTCTATATGACCTGCCCATATAGCCAGAGAGGTACACTCTCCCCCAGATTACACATATATCGGTCATATCGCGTATCAGTTACCTATGTGGCACGATTTTGAATGATCGATTGCTCTGTAGATCGCCGAGATCGAGATCGGTGGAATTTAAGCTGAGAGCGTGAATAATATTACCAATATTTGTTAACGAAACACAAGTGTTTTTTTCACACCCAAACCAAATGGCAGCCATGTTGCAAGTGGTTGTCGTTGTCGTCGTTCTCCGGTCTTTGGTCTTTCCTCCGCGAGCTGTTAATGTTGATAACCCAGTTTGCACAAGTGTCTTTTCGGCTTTCCTACACCGATATGGATACGGATACCCTAACCAGGCCGAGAGGGTATAATTACACACCCATGAACTGGAAGCGGGAAAGCGGGAAAGCGGAATATGCCGAACAGGCAGAACAAACAAACGGATCGGCGGCTATACATATATACACAAATGTCTATATGCTTATTACGAGCCAGTCTGCTTTGGGTTTTAAGTGTGGGAATGGCATTTCTGGTGGCTTCCACTCAGGGTCAACTCCGGTTTATCTTTGGTCTTTCGTTTGTGTATCCTTTTATGCAACTAAAGCAGTTTTTGGATCACAAGAAGAAGTGAAGCCAGTGTAAAAATGATTCAACTAAATATAAATAATAATTATATTCGATTTAGAAATAATACAGTTTTCAACGGCAAAGTCTGAATTTTATCTGCAAAATAGAAGTACAAAAAACAATACTTGTATATATACCAAAAACATTAACTTAACAGCACACCTTTTATTTAAATAATAACACTGAATATTGGGTTACCCAAATATTGGGTTAGCAACAGCATTTTTCTATAGCAATGTCATTGAATGTAAGGCTTGCTACTTATTAAAACAAATTTTATAGAGTTGGATAGACAGCAAAATACTTGTTTAAAATATAAAAAACCCCCATTAGCTGGAGACAATTTCCATAGCATTTATCCCAGTTTTTATCAGTAACTTGGTTTATTATTAACCAAGTCTATGCCAAATGATTTCATGTATTCAAATGCCTTTCTGATTCATCGCTTTAAATACAGGGATGTGTGCATAGACACATGCATGTCGTTTGAGCTAATTTTAATTAACTTGCCATTTTTTCAAATATTTATTTCGTGGCCCGTTTCCCTGTTGTTGAACGTTGTTAATTTTATTTAACCCATTTTTTTACGGCCCCGGCCATTTTGTTGGCGCCCGCTAAGCGGTCTCGTCATGGGTTTTATGGGGATTTCGTTGTTGGGACCTTATCGCTATGGCCGTCGGCGTCGCAGTCTCAGGCGACGTAGCTGTCGACGTCGCTGTCGGCTGTGTCGGCCATCTTTGCTCAACTCATCCATAAACTCATTAACGCGCGCATGTCTCACGCGCCGACTTTTGCCGGCGGAACTTGCACCTGTCGCACCTGTCTCCTCCCCCCACCCGAAAGCCACTTTTCCCCCGCATCTCCTCCTGCCATTAGCGCCTCCAATTGACCTGGTTTTCCAATCGAACCTGGGGAAGGAGAAGGGGGAGGAGTAGGAGGAGGAGGAGGTGCCCGAAGTGGGTGGCGCAGGCGCAGCAGTTGCCACAAAGTGCGGATTGGCGGCTAGGATGTAATGAGCTGGGTGTGAAATCCATTCAACCAATCCAAATCCAAGCAAACCCATTCATACATACATATGTGGATCTAAGAAGTACAGTTGTGTTGATTATTGGGTTTACCGTTAATATTGTAATGGAAGAGTGAAATATTCTTTTCCAAACATTACTAAATATTTGCGGTTTAATCACGGTAAATTGTCATTCAAATGCAGCATTTTTGAAATCTATCAGTGCTAAATAGGTACTTACTTAATTTAAGAATTCAAAAATAAATTCTATAATCTCAATCCAGGCTTCGATTAAAAGGTTGTTTAAATAACTATCCAGACTGGTTTATTTAGAACAAATGTTTTTTGAAATACAATAGAAAACTGCGATTTTTTTAAATATCCTCATCGTTTGAAGTTACTTTAATTTTGTTATAATTAAAAACAATAGCTATACTTAAACAATTGGTATAGACACCTTCCAGAACTGTGTAGATTTTTTAAAATGATTAACGGTTCTGCTCTCGGTGACCATTTAATAACCCAAAATTAAAACGGAAAGCTAGTAGATAGTGTGTTTTATAATTATAAATATTAAATGCGGAGGGTTTTAACACAACCCTCAATTAGGTACCTACCTTTTCTAAAAATGATTTTCTGTATTTCCTATCCACAGCAGAATGAGGATCAGAATGTGGAGGACAGCTGGTGCTGGGAGCCCGATGGCGGAGCCGAGGAGAAGGGAGCCACTGCCGCCGGATCGGGCGATAGGATCGGAAAGGAATCCGGACTGGTGGACATTGCCTTGGGTTCCAACGATGTCGCTCGGCTGAACAGCCGCATTGCGGAGCTGGAACAGCTGAATGCACAGCTAAACTCCTCGCTGGAGGAGCTGGACTCGCAGCACGAGTTGGCCATGCAGGATGTGCTGACCCACAAGACGCAGCTCTCCGTTCAAGTGGCCACTCTCAAGCAACTCCAGGCGGATCGCCTGGTGGAGCACGAGTTGTCCAATGCCAGGCAGCAGAAGCAGTTGCTGGAACTTCAGGAAGCAGTCGCAGCTGGAAAGGATCTGCAGGAGCAACTGCGGCAGAGGATCGATCAGCAGGCAAGCGAACTGAAACGCAGTGTCACCGAACTCGCCGAGATGCAGGAGCTGCTCGACAAACGTGGCCAGGACAATGCCGAGCTGATCGAACGCGTTCGCCTGGCGGAAACGGAAAGGGAACGCCTGCTCAAGGATTTGGAGGAATTGCGGCTGGCGAAGGAGAAGAAGACATCGGAGTCGTCATCAAACAGTTCCTCCACCGGAAAACACAGCGAGGATGAGTTCATTGTGGTGCGTCAAGCGGATGCCACTGGTTCCGGTTCTGGTTCCGGTTCCGGTTCCGATCCCGATCCAGATCCGGAGGTGACCTCCCCGCCCTCGAAGGAGAAACTGCGCGACAGGCTGGTCTCACTGGAATCCCAAATCTCCCAGTTGACCCTCTCCAACAATCAGATGCAGGATGCCCAGTTGGAGAAGCAACTGGCCAACAATCTGTTGAGTGAACAACTGGCGGAGCTGGAGAAGCGCCTGCGATTGAGCGAAGCGGAGAAGGAGCAACTGCAGCTGGACTTGCAGCTGCGACTGCAGCAGTTGACGGTGCAGAATCAGGAGCTGAAGCTCCACGCGGAAGCGGAGCAGGAGGGTCATGCCCAGGATCTCGAGGAGCAACTGGGTGCTCTGCGGGAGGATAACCAGCGATTGCGCCAGGAGCTGGATGCCAGCATTGCGCAGGCGAAGTTCCGACAGGCGATCGCCGAGGAGAAGCAGGAGATCACCGATCTGGATGAAACGGAAACGGAGTATGGCAGCTATGAACTGGAGAAGCTGCGTGCTCTGCTCCAGGCGGAGGTGGAGAACCGCTTGAGCAGCTCCTCGCATCCGCAGCAGAAGTTGGAACGGGCATGGAACTCCCTCACGGAGCGGTGGCATCGCTTGGACATCGTGGAGCAGCGACTGGCGGAGGTGCAGAACCAGCAGTTGGTCAGCGAGCACGAGAAGAAGACCCTCGAGGCGGACATCTCGCAGTACATCCTCCAGTGCGACGAACTGATGAAGAACAACGAACTCCTGCTCAACGAACTGGACAAATACAAGCGCAACAAGTTGGAAACCATCGAGGAGCATCACGAGGAGACGATCGTCCAGCTGGAATCGCAGTTGGAGGAGGCCAAACAGCGACTGGAGTCGTCGCTCGCCAGCCAAAGGCAATTGGAATCCCAACTGAAGGCCAAGCAGGAGAATCCTTCCCAGGAAGGCGAGTTGCTGGCCAAAATGGAGCAGAAGGTTCAGGAGCAACTGCAGCTGCAAGAACACCTCGCTTTGGCCAAAAAGGAACTGGTCGAGAAAACCAAGTTGCTGGAGAGAAACGAGGAGCAATTAACTAAGCAGCAGCTGCAAATTCAAGCAGATCAGGAAAAGTTGGAGGAGCTATCGAAACTGCGGGAAATACTGCTGCAAAAGGAGCAGAATCTCAAGGTTCTAGAGGAGCAACTAACCGCCGTCACAAAGGAATTGGAGGAGAAGTCCGTTCAGGCAAAGATCATCCAGGATCAGCACAAAATCCAGTTGGCAAAAATCCAAAACCAATTGCAGGCGGATCAGGAGAAGCTCAGGGAGCAGCTGCAGCTGCAGGACAAACTGGAGCAGCAGAAGGAGCTCATGGAGGTGGACCAGAACCAACAGCTGACGGCCATCAAAAGGGAGCTATCCGAGGCAACAAGCCAACTGGATGAGTGCCAGGAGAAGCTCACCGCCAAGGAGGCTCAACTGGCGGAGATCCAACAGCAGTGGCAGGAAGTCAACGAGGAAAGGGAGAAGCTACGCGAGGAACTCCTCAACAAGGAGCAGGAGTCGAAAGGGGAATCCGAAGAGGGTAAACGCATTCAGGAGCTCCAAGATGATCTGCAAGCCAAGGAGCAGGAAATCCAGAAAAACCAGGAGGAGCTAAGCAAATTACAAGCGATAGTCAAGCTAAACGAAGAGCAACTCCTGGCCAGGGAAACGGAGATCCAGGAGCTGAGCCAAAGCCAACAGGCTGCCGATCAGAGCCAGCAACTCCAGCAGACCATCGAAGCCTTCGGCCAGGAGAAGAACGAACTGATCAAGGCGCTCCAGCAGAAGCACCAGGAGAATACCCAATACTACGCGGAGATCCAGCGTCTGCAGCCCTTCGAGCAGCAGCTCAAGGATCTCGTCAAGGAGCGCGAGAAGCTGCAGGACCAGGTGGCGTTCCTCAAGGAGAAGTCCGACATACTCACCACGAATCTTCTCACGGAACAAACCAACCAACGACTCCTGCAGCAACAGCAGGCGGATTCCCTGGAGCAACAGGCGAATGTCCAGAGGGACTTGGAACGACTGCGCGCCCATCTCCTCGAGGTGGAGGAGCTGCACACCCAGGAGTCCGTGGAGCTGCAGCGCGATCTGGAGGAGTCGCGTTCCCGCCAGGCGATCCTCGAGCAACAGGTGTCCAAATCCAGCACCGCTTACACTTCAGCCAGGTAAAAAAATCAGAAAAAAAAAAAAAAAAAAAAAAAAAAAAAGAAAAAAAAAGAAAAAAAAAGAACAGAAAATTATAAGGGAAAGGGAAAGGGGGAGTCACCTTGTCGTCGGTGGCCATTAGTCACATCATCTGGCGATAAGCGATCGAAGCTGGCTAATTGCATTCGCCACATGTTCCCACACGATTCCGTTTTCCATTTTCTGTTTTCCATTTCCCGCCGGCGAATTTAGACCGTGCAAATTGCCTTCCATATTTCCGCATTTCATGGCGACTCGAGTTCGACTTCTTATCGCCAGATGCTAAATCAATTTCGCACTGGGCAGCCAGTAAAATACAATAAGTTATATAAGAGTCCTTACTACCGATTCTTTGGAACTGAGATTCGAGATAAGGAAGTTCAGGTTTAGGATATTCGAGTTGTGGGTCTTTGACTAAGGTTTCAATAGTAAAGAAAACATTTAAGATTTGCCTCATTTTCTGAGTTATTGAATTCTTATTTATTCAGTTAGAAAAATCACAAAAAAAAAAAAACCAATGGAATAGAGGTGTGAAAAAGTGTACAGTAATTTACTTCTAAGAAAATTATCCATCAAATTTGTATTTATTTCATGCCTATTGTGTTTGACTAACCTAACAATTAAATTTGTAAATTTCAAAACTGAAGCTGAAGATCGATAAACCATCTCGAATTCCGCCAAAATCAATTTATTTCATGTGGGGAATGGTTTTAAAACTTAAATGCCTTTTAATGTAGAAAAAAGATAGAAAGTTTATATTTAAAAAGATACAAAGTTCATACTACAAAAAATGTACAATGAACTCCTAGTACATTTCAGCAACTAAAATTAATTAAATATATTTACTTTATTTTTTTTGTGGTTTCAGTATCCGTGCCAATCAGCAGGCGGAAACCCTCCAGGCGCAGCACGCTCTGCTCCAGCAGCAAAGGGATGAGCTGCTGGCCAAACTGGGCCAGTACGAGGATCGCGAGTTGAAGCAGCAGGCGGCGCTCACCAATCTCCAGTGCGCCCTGGAGCAGTTCCAAAATGGTAAGTCTACAGATTACATTCCTCACTCTAAGTAAGCATTTAATTCTTATTGTAAATCTCTGTCCATTTCAGACAAGGACCACGACATCGAGATGGCCACGCAGCGCATTCGGCGGGAAATGCAGATCCAATTGGACCGGCAGGGTCAACTCCAATTGGAGATGGCTGCACTGCAGCAGCAGCTGGCGGAGGCCAATCAGGGATTGAGGGCAGCGGCTCGTCTCTCCGATCAACTGGAGGCTGGCCAGCAAACCATCGCCGTTTTGCGGGATGAAGGTAAGTAACCAGGTCAATAGAAAACCACCAAACGGTGGAAAGTTCGGTGATAGGAACTCCAAATGAGGAGTTCCGTGTGTGTAACCTCAAGACTCTTTTTGACTAACCCAAAAAAACCTGTCGAAGCACTCTGGCATCCCCGGCATGTTCTTAACCCTTTGGTGTTGCACCTTCAGTGTTTCCAATAATAAAAATCAATCACGCATTCAAAAAACCTTACCCCCAAAATAATAAAAACAGCACAAAAACCCCAAATGGAAAATGTTTAGAATATAATTCTTGTACTTGTATTTCTTTTATTGGAGAGTGAGAGAGAAAGTATGTGTGTGCTAGAGGGAAAGCAAGAAGTAAGAAAGAGAGAGAAAAGTGTCACCTCACAGGATTCTCAAAGGTAAATATCAGCTGGTAATTCTGGGAGCTAAGCCTAAATATGAAACACTCGGAATTTCAGTTGGTATCGACTTTTTTGAATTGCATTTTATCACCAAAGCGCAAAAACCGAAAACCCAAACACAAAATAAAACCCCAACGCAAAATAAAAATTAAACATAAATTTGAAAAAAGAAAAAAAAAATACAGACTAAAAATTTAACCACAAAATCGAACGAAAAAAAGAGAACTAAGTAATACTCGTTAGATCGCACCTACGGCACGTGGCAATAAAAAACTATATTGGCTGTTAACTGCTCACCTCACAAAACAGGTAAAAGAAAAAAAAGATTGTTCGTCCGCTTGTGTGTCCGTTGTTGAACACTGCTGCTGAAAACCAAAGTTCCAAACCCCCTTTCCAACACCCCGAAAAAGTAGTTACGTTTATTAACCCATTAACGCTGCACCACCCAAACCACACGCAACTATGATTTACACTCCAACCACAGGAGGCCACTTCTGTACACTATAAAAAAAAACCTATAACGACTAGGTGCCTTCAATGTTGTGAACTAATTAGAAACAATTATGTGTACCCTTAAGTTGAGTTACTGTGATTTGTAGCCTTAGCTGTTCGTCTCGTTTGATTGTTGTGCGAAACACACAGAAACTATATTACACTCATGTCAGAAAACTACAAAGAGTTTTGCAAATCACTTACTATTTTATACGAATTAAATATTTAAAGAAATGAAGTTCATAAAACCAATTAAAAAATCTTTGAAGAACTTTTTCTGTTTGTACTTTCTGCATCTGTATCTCTGAAATCCGCACAATAAAAACAAGTAGAATATTTAAAGCTTTATCCCCCTACACTGTAACCCAATTTGCTGTCCTTTTATTTATTCATACACACCTAATATTTGTTGTTGCCCGTTGCGTTCTTGCTTTACTATTTTTATTTAGTATTTATATTTAGTTGAACTCATTGTTTATTTGATTTGAACAACTTGATGTTTTATGAGTTAGTTTGGTTCGATATGAGCGTTTAAGCACACGACACCCAGACACGAGGACCTCTACAAAGCGTAAAAACCGTAAACCGTACCATCCGTTATCCGTAATTCGTAACCCGTAATCCGTACCAAAAAAAAAAAAAAAAAAAACAATAAACGAATTGTATCTGCAGCATTGAATAATCTCAATTTGTAAATGTGAGCGGTATGAGCCATTTGACGCACTCACTTTGCAATTGGAGATTGCTCGAGACTGCGGCATATGCCACATTATATTATGTACACACCTTATATAGCCTCTCTCTATATATACATACTATATATTATATATCTGCCTATATCTACTTTGCATGTCTGCATTATGCATAAATCTGTATGTATCTATATACCCCTATATACTATATATTATATATGCCTCTAAATATCGTTTGGATATGCTGTCTACCTATCCTGTTGCTCTCGTTGTTGTTCCGAATTTGAATCTCGTTCTGAATCTAAATCTGTTTCCGTTCTCGTACTCCCGTTTATCCCGATTACCCTATTTTTTTTTTTTGTTATTTTTATTTCTGATTTTTGATCTTTGAATTTGCATTTCCCCGCATTGGCCCAAAGCACAGATGAATAAACCAAACCAAGTCGAAGCAAACCCCAGCCAGGGTAAACCAAAGTAAACCAAACCAGAGCAGAGCACTCTTGACCAGCCATTGGAGCAGTAGCACTTCAATCGGCCCTCGGGAAGTGAAGGACCCAATCGAAAGAAGAGAGCAGCGTCTGTACGGTTGAGTATTACATCAGGTACTGGTGTGCCTAAAATCGAACAACCAGTACTTATGTCATACTACGCCGTGCACCGATCGCACTAACCGCATGCCAACCAGAACCCGAGAAAACCAAACCAATCCACGCGCGCGCTTTACTCAGTTTACTTAACAAATAACCCCCTTTAATAGTTAATCCTCACTATAACCATTTTGATTGCTAATTCCTATATTTTCTCTGCCATTTTTCCTGCCTAGTGGAGGGTTTGAAGGAGCTGAATGGCCAGCTGGAGCAGCGATTGTCGAGCAGCGAGAGCAGCCAAACGGACAAGATTGACAAGAGTCTGATCAAGAGCCTGCTCATTGGCTATGTGGTCAGTGGACATGCCGGGGACAAGCAGCAGGTGCTCCGCATGATCTCCTCTGTGCTGGACTTCAATGCCCAGGAGGCGGACAAGGTGGGCTTGAACAAGCAGCAGAGCAGTTGGTTGGGCGCCATTTTGGGTGGCGGGCCACAAACAACGGCAGGAGCAGGTGAGCTCTTTACACCAGAATCATTCTGGAATATAGTTTATAATATGTATTTTTCCCTCCCCAAGGATCTTCGCGTGGCAATGAGAACTTGGTGCAGGCCTTCGTGCAATTTCTGGAGCAGGAATCCCAGCCACAGACTCAGGCGCAGTCGCGGCCCACACTGCTCAGCATGACGGGTCAACTGGAGGCGGGGGGCTCCTCGAATTCCGCCTCCTCCGTTGCCACCAGCAGCACCACCACCTCCAACTCCTCCTCCTCGCATCTTCCCCTGCCGACGACGAGTTCACATCTTTTACCAGCGGTGCCAGCTGCCAGTGCTCCCGACTTGGCACCACCCGTCGGTGGATCACCGCAGTCGCTGGCCATGGGCTCCAATGAGTTTGCACCCACACGCAACTCCAGCTCGATACTGAAGGACATTCTCAGCGACTCCTGATTGTTGTAGAACTGGCAGATGGCCGGCTTCACATCCACTTTTTTTTCTCTGCGTAATTTTAACATATTTTTATGACACTTTTGAACGTGCAATCCGGCGCCTGTATTCCCCACATATTATATATCTCGCTATATATATATATAGTTATATATTTAAACCTCAAAGGGTGTGTTCTCCCCTACCCCCCCTCCCAAGAAAAAGAAAACTGTAAAATGTCTGTGTGTGTGTATATGTGCAGCGCTAGCAATTTGTAAATATGTAATATGCAATTTGAACATGTCAAGAGCGGCAGCAATGGGGTTAAAGCACGCCGTGTTAACCCTTATTGCCTGCCAGTGACACGCCTTCACAGCGGCCTTGCTAATGACTAGCCGCCAAATAATAATAAATAATAAACAATTAAATAATACAACGCGCACTCGAAGTTTTCATTTGCAAGTGCCACTGCAGTCGAACCAATTGAATTAAAACCACTCGAGATTTAAGTACATACAATATAAGACTGCTGCCTTTTGTTTATTTTTTTTGTTTTGTTTATTTCTACACATCTCGCTTAGTAGGTTTGCCTATAACACTTCGATAAACTCTTTGAAATCGTTTGCTAAAACACACGTAGGACACGATCCACTTACAATGGTTATGGCCATCGATGGCTGCTGTTGGGATTTCAGCGTTAACAACATATAAACATTTCTACACATCGTAAACAGGATCTAGACTCTTCGTAAATATCATTCGCTCTTCCCCTTATTTTTTTGCTGTTCAGTTTCTGTTTTATAAAAATATACAATTATAAATATAAATACATGTATTGTATATATATTTGTATATATATATATATCATGTAGTATGTACATTTAGATGTTTCAAAAAGACAAGAAAAAAATGTACGTCTCTGTGTTTTAGTTTTGTTCAATAAATTAGTAGAAAATACTTGTTTTGTTTATATAAAAATACAATAGGGTCCATAGGTTTCGATACACATACACGTTTACATTGTTATATATTTTCGCTGATTTTGATGCTTCTTCATTTTTATTCGTTTTAATTCATTTCAGTTTTCGTGGCGGAAATAGAGTTTTGCTTAAGTTTACCGTTAGAAAGAGGCAAAGTTTCATTGCACAAAAGGTGCCTTTGTATAAAAAAATTATACAAAAGGCTTACAAAATGATTTTTCTCAGTGTGTGTGGAAGTTGGCGAGTGAGTGTGGGTGAAAGCTTTTTTGGTGGGTGAGTGCCTGTCTTAGTGTGTGTCTGTGTGTGTGTGTGTGGCAAGCATTTTGGTGCATACTTTTCGGTTGTTTGCTGTTCTATCAACTTCTGTAAAAGCCGCATGTATAATAGCGTTATAACCCGGTTTAACAGTATTATTTTTACTCTTTCAAAAAGTTAAAGTCTTTTCAAGACTTAACCCTTGCTCGGAAAACTGCAATATCATAGCAAAAATCGGGCGAACAAAAAAAAAGGGTAAAAAGTGGTTTAAAATCATTTTAATTGTTGTATTATTTAACCCTTGCTGACCAAACCTAACCAACGATTTTTTATGGCAGCAGACCCTCGTCTGCGAGACACTTTCGTTTAACTTTAGCTACATACATTTATATACACGTATTGATCAACATTGAACAACAGCAAATACATACAGGTAATATCCATTCGTTGGCTCAAAAAAAATTGTTATTTAGTTACTTATTCATATATATAATATATATCGGTTAACTCTATGGTACATTGAAACTACATACAATCCACATTAATATTTCGCTACTACCATTTAAAGCCACGCATTTCCATTAGTTTAATTTAGTTTAGTTACAGCTAGTAAAAAAAAAAACAGTGGTAGAAGGGAAAGAAAGCATTTCGTTTGGTTTTCAGATGTATCAACTGGCTAGTACAATTAAATACATTTCAATTTATATAGAATATTCTTTTTGGGGTCTCTGCTGGATATTCGTAGATATCTCTGCATCGTCTTTAAGCTCCCCAAAATGCTAAAAACAACAATCAATCGATTAGTCAATCAATCGCTGAATCAATCAACCCAATCTCTAGCAACTTTAACCCGATTCTATCGTTCCTAACTTTTCTATCTATTCATATTCATTTATATCACAAAAAACACGGTTGTTCTTTCTTACTTTTCTTATTTTTTTTTCTTTTTTTTTTCCAACCACGATGTTCCCCTCTCTAAGATCCCCCGCCCTTCCATCTTCTATATCCTCTGGTTTTTTTTCCGTTTTGGTTTCTTTCTTTTTTTTTTTTCTGGCCAACACAACTCAGTTTTCTTTTTTTAGCCATGGAAAACTTGCTCCAAACGTTAGAGTCATTAAATGCAATTTTGAAACCATTTCTCAAGTGCTTTTTACCCTCTTCAGTTTCCTTTCTTTTCTTTTCTTTTCTTTTCGGATGTTGTTGTTGTTGTTGTTGTCTTTGGCAATTTTCCTAGGTTTCCAGTGGCATTGAGTTGTTGTTTGTGGTTGTCGTTGTTGCTGCTGTTGTGGCAATGTTGTTGTTGTTGATGTTGTTGTTGTTGGCAAGGGAAATGGTGGTGCCACCATTGGCGTGCAGCGATTCGTGCGACTTGAAGAGCGTGGTCGTCTCACTGGAGTGCAAGTCGTCGTCCTCCTCCTCATCCTCCTGCTCCTCCTCCTGCTCCTCCTCCTGCTCCTCCTCGTCGTCCTCCTCCTGCTCCTCGTACTCCTGCTTGTCGCGATCCAAGTGATCCAGCTTGTTGAGCAGCAGCTGCTGGTCCACCGCCTCCAGCGGCTTCTCCCTGCGTCCCGTGTAGAGGAACACCTCCATGTGATCCTTGCCCTTCACATAGACACTGCCGCGCGGCTCGAACTCGTAGCGATTGGCGAGGAAGGGCAGACAGTCCTTGCCCACCTGGATGCGATTCGGCAGGCCAGTGGAGTCCATCCTCGAAGCCACATTCACCGCATCGCCCCAAATGTCGTAGTAGAGCTTGCTCGTTCCAATCACTCCAGCGGTCACATCGCCAATGTTCATGCCGATCCGCAGGATCAGATTGAACTCCAGCAGATCCTTGTTGAAGGCATCCACCACCTCCTGCATGGCAATCGAGAACTCCATGAGGGTGTGGATGTGCTCATCGCCGCTTCCGCGATGCGAAGGATCCAGTCCACTGGCGGCCATAAAAGTCGAGCCGATTGTCTTGATCTTTTCCACGGCTCGGAATTCCGGACGCGACAGCAGTTCATCGAAATCTCCGATCAGTTCGTTGAGAACCCGCAGGAACTCCTTGCCACCCAGGTAACTCTCGTCGTACATCTCGTTGAAATTGACGATCGAGGCGAAGATAATGGCTATATTGTGGTGATTCTCCGAGTACTTGGCGGTGTTCTTCAGATGCTCGGCCACGTGCTTCGGAATGATGTTGTGGAGCAGCATGTCCGCCTGGTTCTTCATGTTCTGCACTCGGACCTTGTCCTGGTTGGCCACCGCATTCCCATAGAAAGTCAACCGATAACCAATCTCGAACTCGCGATTGAGGAACCAAACCAGAACCAGGATGAGCAGCAAATCCAAGTAGATCTCCACGTGGTAGTCCTGAAACCACTTGATCTCCTGTATGAAGTTCGATGCCTCGTGATCCCGATGATCCGGCTGATCCGGCTGATCCGGCTGATCCGGCTGATCCTGCTGCTGGTCACTTCGATTGTGGCTGTAGACCATCAACTGCGACACCGCAATCCCAATGAAGCAGAGGGCAGCCAAGAAGGCCAGGACATTGCGAACCCAGCAGTTGAGCTGCGTAAAGTTGCAGAAGTGGACGATGCACACGAAGATCAGGAAGCCGTAGTGGTACTCAAAGGCCTCCAGTTGCTCCAGGTCCAGCAGCAGAAAGTTGGCGATGATCAGCAGAACGGGCATGGCCATCAGCACAGCCAAGCAGATGTGCCAGGGATACCAACTGGAGATGGCCTCGAAGATGCGATCTGCACAGGATTCGAAGCGCGGAGCAACCGGAGCGGATCGCTCCTCACGCTCCAGGTCCTCGCTGGTGGTGGACTTGGATCGCAGGCGATGGCTCACGCTGCTGCCGCTCTGCCGGCGACACATCTGGCGGGTGAACAGGAACAGGGCGAACACCTGGATGGCCGTGAAGCAGGAGAAGAGCGTCACCCACAGGCGGAAGCTCGGACTCACCGTGTTCTGGGTCATCAGGAAGAGCGAGGCGGAGATGCAGAGGTACACGGCAATGCCCACGAAGATATCGATGTAGGTGTTGTACCTGGGAGTGGCCAGAGTCGGCGGTCCCTCCGTCTCGTTCTCCGCCCCAAAGCGATGGGCCTTCGAGCGGAAGTCCCGCTCCAACTGGCGCGACTTGAAGTACAGGCTGAACCTCCGGAGCGGCGGCTTCACCAGGTAGCTCCGCTGCGACCTGGCGTTGTCCCGCACGCAGCGGATCAGCTGGAGATCGGACTGCTTGCGCAGCTGCTGCAGGCAGGCGGCCAGGGGATCCGCCATCTGCGAGGAGCACGCGGGCATCAGGAGCGGCGGCGGCGGTGGCTGGGCGGCCAGCGGGAGTCCCATCGCCTGGGCATCGCCCAAGTTGGAGATGCTCGAGGTGGAGCTGGTGAAGTAGCCGGACACTCGGTGCTGGCTAATCGCCGACTGGTTGAGGGCGTAGATCTGCTGCTGAATCGAGGACCTCCTCGAGTTGCTCTTGATCCCCGAATCCTTGCGAGATGTCGCCGAGGGGCAGATGCTCGACTGGCGGGAGTGCGAGGGTGGAAAGATCCCAGCTCCTCCGCCGGAGTTGCTAGGAGCAGGCAGACAGCTGGGACTCGTGGAGGAGGTTCCTGGTTCCAGGCTATTCGGTGTGGGTCTCCCGGTGGCCAAAGTTGAAGCTCGCGGACGAGGCAGTGGCGACTGCTCCACTGTATTTGATGTGGCTGCCTGGGAGGTACCAGCTCCTCCTGTTCCTCCTCCATTTCCTGTCCCACCTCCGTTTGCTCCCCCGTGGATTGCCGGCCGCACTGCGACCTATAGCTCCCCGATCGGCCGAAGGGAGATATGTCGCTGCGCGACTGACTGATGTAGGATCGCACATCGATGATGTCGTCGTACATGGAGTACTGGCCGGGGGAGCAGCAGCCCGTTCCCGTTCCCGTTCCCGTTCCCGCTTCCGGGGATCGGAGCACACTGCTCGCCAGTGCCGTCGAGGTGGCCGCATGGTGGAGCACCGGACGAGCGGGCGGAATGTCCAGGGTTTGGGTGCGGTGGCTGGAGGTCTCCACCAGAACGGGAAGCTGCTGGTAACCACAGCCGTTGCCATTCTGCAGTTGACTGTCCATGAAGGCGAGCGTTTCCTCCGGATTCAAGTGGCTCTGGTGGTGCAGCTCCTCCTTCTCCCTCTCCCTCTCCCTCTCCTTCTCTCTCTCCCTCTCCCGCTCCCGCTCCTGGTGAGCGGTGGTGGTGGTGGAGCTGCTGGAACTGCTGTGCCTGCTGGTCAGATCCTCGAATCGCTTGAGAAACCGCGGCACTTTCCACACCTTCAACTTGATCTTCGATCGCGTTTCGCTGGCTGGAGGATTCACCTGAACTGGCAAGGGACTCCCCGGCATTTGCTCATCCGAGTCCAGACTGCCCGGCAGGGATTTCGTGGTGATGATGATCTTGGGTCGCTCCCTAACCACAATCACTGGTGGCACCCCCGCCGCCGCCGGATGGATGATGCCCCTTTCCACGTCGCGCTCCCTGCTCTGCGACTTCTTGCGGAGCTTCATGCTCAAGGAGGTCAACCTGGGTCTCATGGAGAGCACTGGCGAGGGGTTCAGCGAGCTGGAGAGCTGGCCCACCGGCGAGGCAGGCGGCACGTTCGGCTGCACCGCCGACACATTGGTGGCGCTCTGCGAGAGCGACGCTCCATGGGCTCCCGGGAGGAGCAGGGAGCTGCCCGCTCCATTGGCCGGCATGCTGGGACTCAGGCTGTTCGTCCGGGTGAAGTCGCGACGGCGACCCACTACAAAGTAGGTGCGGTGACCTGGAAAAGGGAAAGGGAAGGAAAGCCGGGGTTAGTATATCTTATGGATATATATATTCTATAACCCATAGCCATATAATTATTTTGCAAATTAAGGAAAAGATACAAGGAGTGTAATCTTGTAATTTATATGTCTACTTATTAGTTACAGTGTTCGGGAATGAAAATAGTTATATCTTACTATATATTTTGCAGAAAAGTGCACTTCTAAGCCTCTAACTTTTCCAATTTGTATCCAATTTACAAGTGGCATACCTGTTTGAATTTGTTATTAAAAAATCTAACAAGCTGCATCTTTACTTAAATTTCCATTTTTAGTCGATGTTTTGTCACTTTTGAATGCCCCACCTACCTTCTAAAATTGCCAAAAATTGGGTTTGCCGAATATGGATCAAAATTCAGTACTCCTAAGCCCATAAGTTTTCTAAATTTAATCCGATTTCCATCCATGGCACACCCCTAAAATGATGTATTTTAATTCTCTAACGAACAGCATTGCTTCATTTTTTTCCTTTTCCTTTTAATTTTTATAACCTCACGCCTTTGAAAGTTTTCGGAAAATCCCAAATCCCTGAACGAAAATTGTCAACAAGGAATGGTTAGTTTATTAAAAAAACCTAATTATTTCCACGAATTTTAGATTTATTATTATTTTTTCAAACACTTCATACAATTTTCAGTAGTAAACTAAGTTTACAGCGACATTAAATCTATTTTTATATATAGTATACATCCCTAGCAGAAATCTTTTTCTATATATAGTATTAACTACTCTATATATGAAATACTCACCGAAAACCTCCTCGCCCTCCTCCAAATAGTAGGCATCGCCCAGGAAGCTGGAGGTCTCCTGCGAAATGTGCACCTGCTCCGGTTTCCCCGAGGATTCCATTCTGCAAAGGAGCATACCTATATTAAGAGGATCCACAAATCAATTGAGCTCACTCACTTGTTGGCCAGGCTGACGTCGTTGCTCCAGACATCGAACTTGACCCGTCGGGTGCCCACGATCCCGCAGAGAACGGTGCCCGTGTGGACGCCCACCCGCATCTTGACGCCCTCGTGTCGCTGGGCATCGAAGCAGCGCATGGCGTCGATCATCCCCAGGCCCATTTCCACGCAGCAGATGGCGTGATCCGCCCGAGGCTCCGGGCACCCCGAAACGCAGTAGTAGCAGTCGCCCAGCGTGGAGATCTTCTCGCAGCCACTCAGCGAACAGAGATCGTCGAATCGCTCGAACAGATCGTTGAGGATCTCCACCAGCTGCTCGGCCGTCTTCGTCGAGGACATCCTGGTGAATCCGACGATGTCCGCGAACAGAATGCTCACGTTCTCCATGCTGTGCATGTGGAAGGGACGAAACAGGGACTTCACATCGTTGGAGGCTCTGGGTCGCATGTAATGCGATTCCGGTGGCATTCCGCCGGAATCCAAGCCCGAAGGACCTCCCTCGTTCAACAGCATATCAGCCACCTTGGGAGGCATCACCGAGTGGATCATCTTCTCCTTCAGCTGCTTCTCCATCTCCAGTTGGCGGCGCACGAGGAGATTTTGACCCACCTTCATGAAGGTGCCGCGCATGCGCACCAAATTCATGATGAGCACATGCACCCCGACCAAATGGACACTCAGGTGGGCCATTATGCGCAGGACGAGGATTCTGTTGCTGGGATCTCCGGTGCTCGGAACACCCGCCACCCCCGCTCCCTCAGCTCCTTCAGCCGCCACCCCGCCAGCGTGGATGGCTCCTCCGTGAATGGCACTGCAACCAATTACCATGTGGGAGACCATCTCGAAGGCGATGGAGTAGCTGATGGCCGTGCTGGCGCCCAACCAGAGCGGCATTGGCAGGGCGGTGTAGATCAGCAGGACGATCTCCAGGCAGATGGCGAAGTGGCCCAGCGGACTGAACGCCCTGCCGGTGTAGGTGAGGAATGCCAGCGAGGCGCCGCAGAGCATCAGCGCTGTCACCGCGGAGGTCACCGTCCGGTGCTCCCTGTACAGGTCCCAGTGGGTGAAGCACAGCGCCATTATCGTCACCAGCGAGAGCATCGAGAAGGAGCTGGAGATGGGGCGCCAGAAGTCCTCCGATCCGCCGTCCACCACGAAGTACAGGCACCACATCAGCGAGCACAGCAGGATGTACGAGAGGGTGAACCTGGAAGGGATCGAAGGGGTACGCAGCTTGAGATTATAGTAATAATAATTATATATTAATATATATATAATATAATAATAATTAAAATAGCTAAGACAATCTAGACTATAACCATACCTAAATCCATCTTATAACGTTTTATGATGAGCTTTCCCGTTGAGATGAAATGATTTTTGGCCTTTTTATGCAGATTTTACCGATTTACAGAGTTTTTCCATAGAATTTGGGGACTTGAGCCACCGATGGGGATAATGAGAAGCAGTGATATGCAGTTGATATGAGACCAGGCCGAATGAGGATTCGCAAAACGAAGGCCGAGCAAGATTACTGGGTTAAGAGCAGGACAATAGGAGCACTCCGTGCGGGTTTCCTGCGGCCGGGGACTTGACCCAACCAGGTGGGGCAACCACTTGGGTCTCATGGAGCCACAATTACCCAGCCGCAGGTAAGTCTTGTTCATCCTCATTTAACTTTCGCTGCAGGCCATTCGCATTCGCATTCGCATTCATCCTAATTAACGCTAACTGCAGCGGAGCGGCAAGAGGAGAAAGCGGCTTACACTTTCCCACCTGTCACCATGGGAACTTTTGCCACTGCCACTGCCACAACTGCTGCCACTGCCACTTCCACTGCCACTGCCACTGCCACTGCATTCATTACACATTTTGTTCCGCTCGAGGGAGCAGAGGTCAAGACGGAACTCAACCAAACTGAACTGAACCGAACTACCTAAGCTCACACCGCAACGGAGGCGCCGGATGATGATGGCGACGGGCTGCCCACTAATCCTTGGCCATTGTTGACGGGTGCCAGGAGTGCCAGGAGCTGTCGCCATTGTTTGGCCAGGAATTCCGACATTCCCCGGCAACTTTGGCTGCTTGGGATGGGTTTCCAGTTAATGGCCACCGAAAGTTAACCGGCGAAAGTGTCATCCGCAGTACAGGATTCTTCATCTTCGCGGATGAAACTTTCGGGTTAAGAGGAACTTTCTAGTTTTCGGGAGTTATGTGTGTCAAAAGCCTGTTGGCGAACTGCGGGGATTGGATCCTTACAATCTAAGAAAGTAGAACTAAGAAAGCTCTAAGCTCAGTGAGGAGTTTGGCATACTAGAAAATTTCATTTGGCAACAGGGTTGTCACTTCCCCAAACTCAAACTAGAAACTTATAATAATAAACTTGCATTCATTTACAATATTTGTACAAACCTCTATAACCACAACTAATATTTGTGTAAGCTTAAGAACTAAATACAGCAGCTTGAATTTGTTTCTTTTAAATTCATTAAAATATGCTGCAGAGAAAGAAATTATTAACTTAACTTATATGAAGTTAAAATTTTTCGAGAATTTTCTCTTCATAAATATTTAAATATATTGCGCATTTATATTAAATTTGTGTATCCACATATATCTCAAAATATGAGATCCTGACGCGAGAACCTAATAATATTTTAATAAATCAAGGACATAATTAGAAGCTACTCTATATTTTTGTAGGCTAACATTGTTTCAACTAAATTTCTCCTTAATATATCTTATCTCTTATTTATTTATTTATTTGTTTGTTGTGTTTTGAAAAGCTGTCTAGATGTTCCTCGAGCATTTGCAGGCTGTCAGTGCTGGCTATCCATCCAGTCCAATCGATTCTTCGGCTGCCTTTTTCTGTTGCCGCACGCGAAACTGCTGCAATTGGCCGCCAAATGGCCCGAAATGGCATTGACCTGCAGCGCCGACCCCTCACCTCTGACCCCCCTTTCCCCCTCCTCCTCCCCTTTTTCCCCTCTCCTCTTTTGACCTGCTAGGTGGAGAAGGCACACGCCAACGGAGCATTTATGGCAGCAATTTCGCCATCCTGCGCAGTTCACCCAACTAATTTGCCCCCCGTTTACCCCTCCCTCGCCTTTCACCCCTTTCACCCCTTCCTCCCCCTTAAACCCCTCCACCCCTGACTTGCAACCCCTGACCCCCGCTGAAAAAAAGGAACCCATGCTCTTTGGCGTCGCGTTGATTGCATGCACGTGCAAAAGTTTCCCTTGTGTGTGTGTGTGTGTGTGTGTGTGTAAGTCCTGCGATAACTGAACTACACACCTGCAAATGCAAAGGGTTAACTGAAAAACAGGTCTAAATAGGATCTCTGCCAGGTGTCAGCGAACTTGAGTATACTTTTGAGGTAAATGGACTATTTACTAAAGTAAATAGCACTTCGAAATAAATAAACTTTTTAAGAAGTGCTTTCATTGAAATGGATTTTATTTTTGTCAATATTATTTATGGCTCAATAAATAAGAAAACAGTTCGGCAATTCGGTTCTAAACGAATTGAATTTATTTATTCAGCAATAAAAACTCAAGAATAAACAATGGCAAAATGCTTGCTTCCTTAAATCTCTTCTATCAGCTAATAAAACATTTAATTATTTTAGCTAAACCATCAATTCAACGCTACAAATGGTCAATACCAATTATTCAGTTAAAATAAAAGAATGCTATTTTTACCTTATTGGAGGCCAGCAATTACCAGCTTTAATTGCATTCTAAGAAATATGCAAATTAATTGTTTAAGTTAAAAAACATTTTAGCTGAATAAACTTATTTAATTTGAGTTTTTCCTTCGAAAACAATACCGGGGTAATGGTTTAATTATTTGGTATTTCATAAGATTATTGATGGAAGGGTTCTAATCTTATGACTCTTCAATAAAAAGGATTCTCTCTGCACTTTTTTTTCTTGCTGCAAAGTATATTAAATGAAGTGTGATTTTTAAACGAAACCTGATTAGAACTCCCTCTCACAAGCTTGCGTTCTTTCTCCCTGATTAAATTATTAGATTGAATATATTATATATTATATATTTTTCTTTTGCCAGATCTCACCTGTATCGCATGCGGACGTGGGGAAAGACGCTGGCCTGGTACTGCTCCTCCAGAACGGGGGAATCGAACTTGGGATCCAGCCAGGACTTGGCCGCAGCCCGCTCGAAGGCCACCGGCAGCATGACGCTGCAGCAGGAGTGCCGCCGACCCGTTTGGCTCAAGTACGTCTGGATGTGCGGCGCCAAGGCGATCTGGATGTCATCGGTGGAGTTGGCCCGGCTATCGTTGGCCAAAACGCCCGGCGGCATCGCCCTCGAGCTCACCGATTGTCGGCGTGACTGTAAGCACAAAAAAACACAAGTTTAAATTATAAACATTGAAGAACAGAACAAATTTCTCATTGAAAAAAAGTTTAAATTTGATAATAGAAGTTAAGGAAGAATATCACACATTTTTCTAATAACCAAACCCTTAAAATTTGTAAGCATAATTACTAACTTAATCATCAAGCAGACTTTTCTTTCATCTTCCCAGTTAACCAATTCCCAAAAATCTTTGAAAATTAAAGGCTACCTTACCTAGCTCTCCTAGCAATTCTCTTACTCAAACGAAACATTAAGTATTTAACCAAGAAGCTGCAACAAATGTTGCTAAAACGTGTGCTGGCACCATGATAAAAGCAAATAAAATTATAATTAATAATAACAATGGGGTTGAAATGCGAGGATTAGCGGATTAGTCTTGGTTTGTTTCCTCGCCGGATTAAGCAGAGGCTGTCATTCCGACTGGGCGTGGCAGTGGGTGGTTGGATGGCTGGGTGGTTGGGTGGTTGGATGGTTGGAGGCCAAAGGTCACGGACAAGGGGCTTTAAATCTTTGCCATTTCGCAAATGGGTCAATGGCTCTCTTTGCCTTTATTGCTATGGCGAATAGCTTACAAAACGGTACGGGAAACTTTAAGCATTGTTAACATTTAAAAAATGCATAGGAATGTATAAAATATAAATATATTTATGTAATAAACTTTAACAAAATTAGAACTTAAAAACAATTATCTCTGTTTTATTGCTTTCAATTTTATTTTTAGAATGCAAAACATATTTTTCCTTTTTTTTTTATTAACTTTGTGTTCTACTTTTGTTAATTTGTAAACATTCAATTTATAGAAACTAATTAAGAGAGCCTTTTAATGGCACATTTGGTTCATTTGGTTGACGACCACTTAAACTTTTGCTTTATGATCGCTGTAAAAATTTCTTTTAAATGCTTTTTAATTTCCTTCGCTTGCGATATTTTTGATTTCTGATTTTTGATTATCACCGAAAATTGTGGCGACGCAAGTCACGCGACATCGGCTTTGATTTCTCGATATCTGATATTTATATATTTGCCAGCTGATTTGCGATTTCGTCGTTTCCGCCTTCGGTTTTACTTTTCTGGCAATCTTATCGAACGGAGAACGCAAACGAAAGGAGGCAGCAGCCGAAGTGCAGTCGAAATCGAGTTGAACAGATCAGAATCGCAATCGAAAATCGCGTATACGACCCGTTGGCCGCACTCGAGCGAAACGCACACAAAAACGGACACGCGGACAGAAAGTTGCTAAGTTAATCATAAAAAGCATTCCCCAACCAAACCGATTTGGTCGTTCATTAAGAAGCCGCTAAAAAGTCGGGCCAAAAATAGAAGTCGTCGAAATAATAATAAAGTCGGGTGAAAACCTCAGAGCGCGAGGGGGAAAAGCGAAGCTAAAAATTCCCTAACCCAATATATCATTTCACTAATTTATTACTCCACTCCAAACATTGTAAATTTTGAGTGTTGGGTTCCCCTTGGTTGGGAACATTTGAAAACACCAAGTAATTGCAACCTGACAGCTGAGTATCATAAATAACTTGAAGCACACACTAAATGCAGGAACTATATTTTTAGGCGAGCTTTATTTCACTTGGAACTTGTAGAAAAAACTATGAGAGGAAATAGATTGCAACTTGTACTAAATAAATTAATTATTAACTGTGAACGCAAATTTATCAGGAGATTTTAGTTTCCGTTTGGTAATGAATTAAATTTTTGAGAGTTATAACCCCGCAACATAAAGGGTATCCGCAAAAGTTGAGAAAAGTTTTTATCGCTTGGGCGGGGTCGAGATACAAGATACAAGATACAAGATACAAATGCCTGGGACACAACTTTTTTACACCAACCCCTCGACTTTTGGGATCATGTTAACCAAATCTGTGGGCAAATTGGGATTCCTTTTGCCAGCCGAATCCTTTTTTTTTCCACTCAGCCGAAAGCCAAAACCGAAAACCAAAAGCCAAAAGCCAACAGCCAAGGTAAATATTTCATTTGGCAAATTGCTAGCTGACCCTTGGACTGCTCTTAATAATTACTCAGCAGCTCAAAGGAGTGCGGTTTTTCCAATGTTGGTTTGGCGGGGCTTTAGATTTGTTCACCACCTACCGAAAATCAATCCAGGAAAAATCCAAAAACGTGAGAAAAACATTTCACATATATGCAGTTGATGTTTGCACAAACACACACAAATCAACGTAAAAAAAACATATTCACTTGAAGTTTAAGCCAAAGTTAAGCATTTTGAGGCCATTTATGCGATATTTGCGAGTCTCGTTATTTGTACGTTATTCGATTGGATTAGGATTCGATTTGATTCGATTCAATTCAATTCGATTCAATTCGATTCGAAGTGAAACAAAAGCGACGACGGCGGTTGCGAAGCGGTTCGGTTCGGTTCAACGAATTCCGTTGACGCGGCGCTGGAAACTGATTTGAATGTGTGTTATTTTTCTTTTTTTCTTTTTTTTTTTTTGAGATATTTTGGTTGGGTTGTGTGTCCGCGGTCCGTCGGCAAACGTTGGGGATTGTCGATTGTCTCGCCGTCGATCGCCAGCGGCAAATAGCAAACAGCTGACAGAGGCAGAAGCTCGCTCCGCTGGAGAATGCAAAAAAAAAACGAAAAAAAAAGCGGGCGGCTTATCGTTTGCCTGATAACGCCAACAGGTGAGAAATGCTGAGAGAGAGAGGTATACATAGAAAGAGAGAAAGAGAGATAGAGAGTGGCAGATATAGATTTGGATCCGTACTTGAGATCAGTCGCCGCCCTCGAACTCAAGTTGTTTCAAGTGGCCAAGGACCCCCGTCGATCGTTTATAATCTATGAGGCTGTATTTTCGTATTATTTTCGTAGTAGATTTCCCCTTTTCACCACTTAAAAAAAGACACCAGCTAGGTGGAAAAATCGCCTGTAAAATATAACAGAAATTTTAATATAAATAGCACTCGGTTATTCCGGCAGTTGGGCGATAAGATAAGAATCGCCCCCAGACACGACTCTTCGCTTTGAACTGCCAAGGGAAATCGCCTTGAACTTCCACGGCGAGTGCACTCATTACACACTCACTCTTCCGTGAATCCACTCACTCGTTTACACAGCGAAAAATATTTGCGAGCACACCCAAAGGAAGTTGTTTCAAATGTAAACTTATTTTGATTTTGATATTTATAACATCTAACCAAATCTAACAATTTATTTACCTCACTGTTTCTAACGCTTTATCTTTCATGTTTTTATTATTCAATTCGTGAATACTATTTATCTTGTTAATGTTTGCCTTAAAAAGTATTGAGATGTCACAGAAATTTCCATCGATCATTCTATATATATAAATACCTATACATGAATACAAGTTCTAGAACACAAATTATTTCACCTACTTGGAATAATTGAATTTGTGTGCCAAGCAATGCAAATATTGCTTATACAGAATTCAGAATCAATAAACAATTTTATTAGCACATAAATAAATGGTACAAAATTAATTAAATAAATCCAGTCAATAATTAGTAAAATATTTATAATTAATACAATATGATATATGTAATAGAATATTAAGACCAGCAATAGAATTCTTTGTATTTCAACACAGGTTGAAAGCGATTTATCATCTGTGGTGTTCGCAAACACAGAACACAGAACTTTAAAGATGTGTACGACAACTCATGATCTTGTAGATATGCGAATGATAAGAGATACAAAGATACGAAGATATGATAAAATGCCGAAAGCGTGACAACTGCTGATATCTGAACGATATTATTTTGGCCCGAACAACCTGAACCCGAACCAGAGTTCCTCAATTCGGAGAGTTCCCCACGGATTTATCCCCCCAACGCAGGCATGAATATATTATATGTATGTGCGATATATATGCATATATATTCACGGACTTAATCTGGCAATTAAGCTGCAGTCGTGGGCTGTATTCCTTTGATTGCCATGAAGAGGCCTTCTTCCTTTGCTATTTACATTCGATTTCGGGTGACGATGGTGGCGATGGTGACGACGGGGCCTTTGTGAAGTTCCTGGAGCTCAGCATGGATGGCTTGCATAATGCATTCGGCATCGGCATCGGCATCGGCAATCGGGGACAGGAAATTGGAATTCCATTGGCAGGCAGCTTGGTCACTTCTGCCACCACCAATACAACCACAGGCAGCAAATCAAATTCCAAATATTTGTTTAATTAAACTCTCTTGGCAGCCGCATCAATTCCTCCAGCACAACGACAACAAAAGCGGCAAACTGTTAAGAAGTTTTTGAATATTAATTAGCAAGGCAGCAAAGCCAAAGGCAGAGCCAAAACGCCGAGTAGCACCAACTTGGCTGCGAGTTATCAGCAAGCTGATAAATTCAGGGCGGTTTTCAAAGGGGGTTATTGAGGGGGTTTTTTAGGGGGTTTTTAGGGGAGGGGAAGAGGGAGTCATTGCTCCGTGGGCGTAGAGCGGATCCAACTCACCATCCAACTTACCATCGATAAATCGATCTGTTTTGCTGGTGGATTAAAGCCGCAAAGGTGTGGATGAGCCAATTTAAAATATGGCAGAGGCAGAAAGGCAGCCAAACAATTGATAAACAACCAAAACTCGAAAGTCTGGAGGCCTCAAATATTATTAACTTGACAAAGAATTGAGATAGCAAATGCTGGAACATTTGCTGTTGACAAAGGGATATTTAAATATAATCGATTATTATTTTAAGCTAATTCAGCAGCTTAAATGTAATATACGAAAATTTTTAATGCTTAATAGAAAAGTGCAACGATTTGGGTGAAAATGTAATAAGAACTATTCGTTATTTATATTTTATAAAAATAGTTCATCTAAGAACCCGAAAAAATTATAAAAAATCATCAAATGTTGTGATTTTTTGCTACTTCAACAGGTAATAACAAAATCACTTAAATACCAATCAAGAAACTATAAATGTTGAAATGAAAAAATATTCTTTATTTACATTTCACAAAGACAATTCATCT